TATATAGCTACATATGTAAGCATAAACATATGTGTACATATATGTATATATTTATAAAGAATTATACTTTTTGCATATATGCTTGCATAAATATAAATATATGTCATATATATTTTTGCACATGCATACATATCCTAATGGTGTATATATGTACAATATACAGGGGCAGGAAAAGTAGGTTTACAGTTGTGAGTACACAAAACAGCTTATTCTTGTATTATTATTTACTAATTATTGTATTATTTATTTGTATCACAACCATAAACCTACTTTTGCCCACCACTGTATATGTGTAAATGATGATATCCTATATAGTAAAAGGATAATATGCAAATTGACCCTAAAGGTGGAACAACCAGGAATGACTGGTTGCTATGATGCACACTGACCACCAGGGGGCAGAAAATCAATGCAGGAGCTGCCTCCTGGTGGTCAGTGCACTCCCATAGGGGGAGCTCCACTCAGCCACAAGCCAGGCTGATGCTGCAAGTGCAGTGGCAGTGGCGGGAGCCTCTCTCGCCTCCTCAGCACCCTGGGGAGTGAGCCTAAGCCTGCAGGTGGACATTCCCCGAGGGGTCCCAGACTGTGAGAGGATGCAGGTTGGTCTAGGGGCCTCCTGAGTGCATGAATTTTCATGCACTGGGCCTATAGTATGTATATATAGTATGTATATATATGTCTGTAGTACACATTTGACTATGTTTATGTATACGCAGACATGTGGACTAAACAGTACATATGGACATATGTGAGATAAAAACATATACACATATACATATGTAAATCAATAATCAGGGACAAGTACAATGAAAACTTAAAGTCGTGGTAGAGCAGTCAATGCTTAATTAGAAAGATTTTGAGATCTATTTAGGATGTGGAATTGATAAGTAAAATGTATGGAATGAGGGAGTTGAGGGGAATAAAGACTTTCAGAGTTCAGCATTTAATTGATCAGAGGAATGGAGAGAATATTTCTTGAGATATGGCTTAAGGGAAGAGAGCAATTTTAAACATGAGAGTAAAATGTGGTGGTTGTGAATAAGTTTGGTTTGGAACAAATTGATTTGAATGTACATTAAATCCTCAGTAGGTTTTGGGTCTAGAGCTCATGGGTTCATCTTTGATCCCCTCTCCAGAGGGCAGGGACTCCTCTGTCTCAATAGAACATCCACCTTGCAATTCCGATATGTCTCTGTATCAGGCTCTCAAGACCACACATTTGAATCAACCAGGGAATATTTTAGAGCAGCTTTGGAGTGGGGAATGCCATTGACATTATTTATTTATTTATTTATTTATTTATTTGTATCAATTTTTAATTGAGAATAAATTCATATAACATAACATTTACTATTTAAGAGTGTACAAGTCAGTGGTTTTTAGTATACTCACAGTGTTGTACAACCATCATCACTATCTGATTCCAGAATATTTTCCTCACCCTAAAAAGAAACCTGTGTCTCCCAATTTCCCCCTCCCTCCATCCCTGCAATCACTGACCTTTTCTGTTGATCTTCCAATTCTGGACATTTCATATCAGGGGAATCATACAGTATGTGGCTTTTGTGACCTGCTTCTTTCACTTAGCAAAGATGCTTTCAAGGTTCACCCATGTTGTAACAGGTATCAGTATTTCACTCCTTTTTATGGGTGAATAGTATTCCACTTATGAATATACATCTTTTAAAACTGTTAACTCGTTTACAGACTTCATTGTTTTCATTTTAACTTTGCATCTCTCATTATAGTGATGTTCTTTTACAAAATTTGAACTATGATTGACATATTGATATAAATTTAAGACATATGTTGATTTGATGCATTTATATATTGCAATATGACTACCACCATAGCATTAGCTAACACCTTTACCCCATCTCACAATTGTCATTTCCTTTTTGTGGTAAGAGTGACTAAGATACAGTCTCATAGGAACTTTGAAGTTTATAGCACAGTTTTGACTATAATAGCTGTGCTGTACATTTAGATCTCCAGAACTTATTTATCTACTATTACAAGTTTTCACCCTTAAACAACATCTCCCTGATTCCCCAAATCCTCACCCCTGGTAACCATCATTCTATTCGATTTCTTTATGTTCTGTTTTATTTTTAGATGCCATTGGTAAGTTCTAAAGCTCCCTGAGATGATTGAATTGTTAAAAACTATGTCTCCATAGCTAATGGATATTTCTGACACACACTTACAAATTTTGAAGGCTTTTACAGGAAGCATTTGAGAGGCAGAGTAATGAAGTTTTCTCAATTGTGGCTATTGGGGAGGGTATTGGGAGTATTCCAAATCCTATCAGCTCTACTATTGTTATTCTCTAGTTCTGAGTGTGGGACTGCACTGCTAGGAAGAACAAGCTTCATCTTGCAAAGAAGTGGCTTCATGTGCTGTTATCTCCATCTGCTGCATAAGGTAATGAGAACTCTTGCTTTCACTCTCTGTTTACAGAGCCAGAGTTTCATCATGGTTAATGGGAAAACTCTGCTCTAAACAGTGTAGGAGGGTTTATATGATCTTCAGTTATTTCTTAGGTTGGTCACATAGGCATAACCTCAAAGGAGAAGAATGATGGCCAGGCTGGTGTTGCTCAGTGGTTAAGCATTGACCTAGGAACCAGGAGTTCATGGTTTCCATTCCCAGTCAAGGCACATGCCCAGGTTGCAGGCTCAATCCCCAGGAAGCAGCTGATCAATGATTCTTTTTCATCATTGGTGTTTCTATCTCTTTCCCTCTCCCTTCCTCTCTGAAATCAATAATCTATATCTATATCTATATCTAACTATATGTCTATATGTCTATATATCTATATATAATGATGAATAAAAACCTCATCAAAATTTATAATTTCCTCCCATCCAAATTCAGTGTTGAATTAGATTTTTGGCTTCTGCTTGGGATCAATAAATTTGGAGTGTTGCTCCAAGCCTAACACCAAAGAAAAGCTGGATAATCAACAAAATCATAACTTTTCTTGAACCCTGCTGAGTTTGTAGAGAAAAAGGTAGCTTGAAACTTCCAAGAATAGAAGAGACACAAGCACTGACTTAACTGGGTAGAACATAGGAATAAAAGAGGACACCATCATATACAAAAATCCTATATGATAAAGAGGTAATTTGCAAATTGACCATCACACAAGATGGCTGCCCCCATGTGTTCAAAGATGGCCACCCCCATGTGGACACAAGATGGCCACCACAAGATGGCTGGTGGGGGGGGGCAGTTGAGGGTAACCAGGCCTGCAGGGGAGGGCAGGTGGGGGTGACCAGGCCAGCAGGGGAGGGCAGTTAAGGGAAACCAGGCTGGCAAGGGAGAGCAGTTAGGCGTGACCAGGCCGGCAAGGGAGGGCAGTGGGGTGATTGGGCTGGCAGGGGAGCAGTTAGGTGTCCATCAGGCTGGCAGGGGAGTGGTTAGAGGGTGATCAGGGTGGCAGGCAGAGGCAGTTAGGGGCAATCAGGCAGGCAGGCAGGCAATCGGTTGGGAGCCAGCAGTCCTGGATCGTGAGAGGGATGTCCGACTGCCGGTTTAGGCCCGATCCCACTGAGGGGTCCAAGATTGGAGAGGGTGCAGGCTGGGCTGAGAGACCAAACCCCCCCCCCCCCCCCGCCCCCACTTTAAACAAAGTGTGAAACTAGCCTATTCTACCTGGGAGGCATTAGAGGAGACGCCCTCAAGGCGGCTGTGCATTCATTGTAAATCACTAGTGTTTTCAACTGTGAGAGGGCACAGGCTGGGCTGAGGGACCCCCTGAGTGCACGAATTCCATGCACCGGGCCTCTAGTTGTAAATAATGCTGCATTGAACAAAGGGATGCATATATCATTTTTTAATTAGTCTGTTTGCTTCTTTGGTTTTTAAATAAATACCAAAAGTGGTATTGCTGGCTCATATGGCAGCTCTATTTTTAGATTTTTGCAGAATCTTCATATTGTTTTACATAATGTATACAACAATTTAAAACCCCACCAACAGTGTATAAACTTTCCCTTTTCTCCACATCCTTGTTAGCATTTGTTGATATTTTGATAATTGTCATTCTGATAAGTATGAGGTGGTATTTTATTGTGGTTTTGATTTGCATTTCCTTGATGATTAGTTATGTTAAGAATCTTTTTATATGTCTATTGACCATCTGTATGTCCTCTTTGGAGAAATGTCTATTCAAGTCATTTGCCCATCTCTAAATCAAATTGTTTGGTATTTTTTATATTAAGTTGTATGAGTTCCTTATATATTTTGGATATTAATTCATTATAGGATATATTATTTGTAAATATATATCCCCATTCAGTAGGTTTTCTTTTCATTTTGTTGATGATTTCCTTTACTGCACAAAACCTTTTTAGTTTGATGTAGTCCTATTTGTTTATTTCTTCTTTTGTTGCCCTAATCTGAGGAGACATTTCCAAAAAGACATTGCTAAGATCCATGTCAAAGAAGGTAATGCACATATTTTCTTCTAGGACGTCTATGGTTTCAGGTCTTACATTTAAGTCTTCAATCCATTTTGAATTTATTTTGTACTAGAAGCCCATTGCAGAAGGATTCCTGCAAGAATAGGGCTTCCTCGGGCCAATCGTGTAGCCAAGCCCCGCCACCCAGGGCCGCACACGGGGGCTCAGATGCGGCTCTTGCTGGCCCGCCCTGCCTGCAGTATGCAAATTAGCCGCCATCTTTGTTGGCGGTTAATTTGCATATCATGCTGATTAGCCAATGGGAGGCATAGCAAAGGTATGGTCAATTACCATGTTTGTCTATTATTATTATAGATATGGTGTAAGAAAGCACCTGTTTCATTTTTTGCATATATCTGTCCAGTTTTCCAAGCACCATTTATTGAAGAGACTGCCTTTACCCAATTGTATATCCTTGCATGCTTTGTTTTAGATTGATTGACCTTATAAGTGAGGATTTATTTCTGGGCTCTCTATTCTATTTCATTGATCTGTATATCTGTTTTTTGTTTGTTTGTTTGTTTGTTTTTTAATATATTTTTTATTGATTTTCCACAGAGAGGAAGGGAGAGAGACAGAGAGCTAGAAACATCGATGAGAGAGAAACATCCATCAGCTGCCTCCTGCACATCTCCCACTGGGGATGTGCCCGCAACCAAGGTACATGCCCTTGACCGGAATCGAACCTGGGACCTTTCAGTCTGCAGGCCGATGCTCTATCCACTGAGCCAAACCAGTTTCGGCAGTATATCTGTTTTTATGTCAGTACCGCACTGTTTTGATTATTGTAAGTTTGTAGTATAATTTGAAATCTGGGAGTGTGATATTGATCACTACATTCTTTCTCAAGATTTCTTTAGCTATTCAGAGTGTTTTGTAGTTTCACATAAATTTTATGATTATGTTCTAGTTAGCAGAAGAATGCCATTGGTATTTTAATAGAGATTGTGTTAAGTCTGTATATTTATTTAAATAGTAAAGACATTTAAAAATATTAATGTTTCAAATACATGGGCATGGAATGCCCTCTCATTTATTTATATCTTCTTCAATTAATTTCTTCAGTGTTCATAGTTTTCAGAGTACAGGTCTTTAACTCTTTGGTTAAATTTATTCCTAGGTATTTTATATTTTTTGATGCAATTGTAAATGGAATAGTTTTCTTAATTTATTTTTTTAATCATTTATTATTTGTATATAGAAATGCAACAGATTTCTATTCATTAATTCTGTATTCTGCAAATTAACTGAATTCATTTTTTAGTTCTAACAGTTTTTTGGTAGAGTCTTTATGGTTTTCTATATCTATAATAATGAAAGTGTGATATGCTAATTAGATCAGACAGCCAAACAACCTTCCGGATGCCATTCTGGATGTCCATCCTGATAAAGCCGTGGCGGGGGGCGGGGGGAGAAAGGGAGCAGTGGTGAGGGAGAGGCAGTTAGGGGCGATCAGGCAGGCAGGCAGAGGGGTTAGGGGCAATCAGGCAGGCAGGCAGGTGAGCAGTTAGGAGCCAGTGGTCCCAGATTGCGAGAGGGATGTCAGACTGCCAGTTCAGACCTGATCCCATGACTGCTGGTTTAGGCCCGCAAGGATGGGGTCTAAACCAGCAGTCAGACATCCCCTCAGGGGTCCTGATTGCAAGAGGGTGCAGACCAGGCTGAGGGACCCCCTACCTCCATGCATGAATTTAGTGCACCGGGCCTCTAGTATAGTATAATGTCATCTGCAAATAGTGACAATTTTACTTCTTCCTTACCAATTTGGATGCCATTTATTTCTTTTTCTTGTCTTAATGTTGTGTCATGACTTCCAATACTATGGTGAATAGAAGTGGTGATAATGGGCATCATTATCTTGTTCCTCATCTTAGAGAAAAGGTTTTCAGCTTTTTACCATTGAGTAATGATATTAGCTGTGGGTTTGTCATATGTCACCTTTATTATGTTGAAGTATGTTCTCTGTATATTCACTTTGTTGAATTTTTATTATAAAAGAATGCTGAATTTTGTCAAATGCTTTTCCTGCAAATATTGAGATGATCATATGATTTTTTTATTTTGTTGATGTGATGTGTCATATTGATTGATTTATGAATGTTAAAGAATTCTGTATTCCTGGGATAAATCCCACTGGGCATAGTGTATAATCCTCTTATTTGTATTTCATTTCTTTTTAAAAAATATTTTTAATTTATCTTTATTGTTGAAAGTATTACAGATGTCCCCTTTTCACACCCATTGCCCCCCTCCATTGCCTAAGCCCCCTTCTCCTGCCTACCACACTATTATCTGTGTCCATGGGTTATGCATATATGCATATAAGTTCTTTAATCTCTTCCTGTCCCCTCCCTATAATCCTTTTAATGTATTGTTAAATCCATATTGCTAATATTTTGTTGAGAATTTTTAGAAATATGTTTTTATTAATTTCAAAAAGAGGATGGGAGAAAGATAAAGAGATAGAAACATCAAGAGCAACATCGATTGGCTGCCTCCTGCAAGCCCCTTAATGGGGATTTTTGCATCTATGCTCATCAAGGATATTGGACTTTAATTTTCTGTTTTGATAATGTGTTTGTCTGGTTTTGGTTTTATGGTAATGCTGGCTTTGTAGAATGAATTAGAAGCATTCCCACCTCTTCAATTTTTGGGATTAGATTAAAAAGGAAATTGTCTGGTCCTGGAATTTTGTTTGTGGGAGTATTTTTTTATTACTGTTTCAATTTCATAGCTAATAATCAGTCTTCTTAGATTTGCTATTTCTTCCTTGTCCAGTCTTGGAAAGTTGTATGCTTCTAGAAATTAATACACTTCTTGTAGTTTGTCCACTTGTTGGCACATAATAGTTCATAGTGTTCTTTAATGATTCTTTGTCTTTCTGTGCTGTTGGATATAATTTTTCTTCTTTAATTTTTCATTTTATTTATTTGGGAAATATTTTTTCTTGATCAGTTTGGCTATGGTTTCATCATTTTTGTTTAATAGTGTATTGGTTTAAATAGACATCCAAATATATGTACTGCCTTGGCTGGTGCAGCTTTGTTGGTTGAGTGTCGTTCAATGCACCAAAAGGTCACCAGTTCAATTCCTGGTCAGGATAAACATGCCAGGGTTGTGAGTTTGATCCCTAGTGGGGGTAGGTGTGTGTGTGTGTGTGTGTGTGTGTGTGTGTGCAGGAGGCAGATTGATTATTCTCACTCATCATTGATGTTTCTATTTCTCTCTCCCTCTCCCTTTCTTCCTCTCTAAAGTCAATAAAAACATATTTATAAAAACAAATATATGTACAAGTTGTAATTCATTGATATATTTTTAGTTATAAAACAATAGAGCTAATCTTCTGTTTCTCTCATTTTATTTTCTTGCAACATTTATTGAAGAACTTGGATCATTTCTTGTAGTGCTTTCCATGTCTACATTTTGCTGATTGCATCTCTGTTGATTTTTTCCATATATTCTTCATTTTTTTAAAATGCCCTACAAATTAGAAGTTAAAATAGAAATTTAATCAGATTCAAGGTTTTTCTTTGTTTCTTTTCCTTTTTTACCAGGAACATGTCATTAATATTTTGTTATTACTTCCAGAATAATCTCTGGTTGTTTCACTTTCTGTCATATTAGCAGGCATTGGTTTTCAGTACTAGGTTATTAATATATTATTACATTATTCACTTAATCATTATATTAACAACTATTATAACACTAAGTATTTTTAAATTAATATTTTATTGATCAAATTGTTTTACTTATTTCTTATATATTAGTTTTTCATGTAATTTTTTACATATTCTCATTGTCGTTTGAAATTTTTTCTTAAATACTTTTTATATAATCTATGGTAATAGTAAATTCTTTACATCCTTGACTATTTTTTTGTTCTTATAAGAAATTATTTAGAATAGGTAAAATTGTGGGCTAAAAACACAATTACTCATTAGAATCCCATATACTGTTATTGTTTCTTCTAACATCTAATGATACAAATAAGATGTTCACTCTCCACTTAATACTATGTTCATTTAAGAAAATTATGTCAAGAAAGCTATAGGAATTACTTATGGTTTTATGAATTTCAATTCACTTATAGGAAGTTGTTAGGGGAAAATTATATATCTGAACACTTATTGGCTCTCATTCATATAAAAATCTTGGCTAAAAAAATCATAAGAATTTTTAGTTTTCTACCTATTGGTATTCCTGGCTGGAAAAAAAAAAGTGGAGAAATGGTAAAATTAATTCAAGGAGACAGAGTGAACAATTAAACAATGTCAAAGTTGAATCAAGTCTTAGTAATTTTTAGTGAACAGAATAACATAAGAGCTGGATAAATCAATCTATGTGAACAGCAATGTCACAACATGAGCTTGGAGTGCTCTCTCTTTGGGTGCTAGAGATATAGATGCCAATATAAAAATTGACCTACATGTTGCAGGACAGTAAAAAATCTGAGAAGTACAGCTATGATTTTGTGTATTACTAGCTGAAGGTCAGAGCAGAAGCAGAGTCACTCTGTGATTGTGATACTATAACTTAACCTTAGTATATAAATGTATAACTTGACAAAACATAATTTGAGATTTATTTTGTTTTCTCTTTGAAAAGAGGATGAACTTTGGGCTAATAACCAGGCAGAAAGTGGGGCCTTACAGGGACTGGAATATAAATGTGTGCTGGAAAAATGATAGAGTCATGATTAACCCCGACCACTTACCTCTTACTGTGAAGTATAAAGCAGTGATAAGCACAATGTAAAATCCCATCAGAATTATTACCATCTTTGCCATATACCATATCCAGTCATTATACAAAGAAAAGAAAGGATCTGAAATAGAAACTGTGAAAGGTGTAAAAATTAGAAAATTAATTAAACTGAGAACAAGGGGGAAGAGAATATTTAAGAACCAACATTTGGTAAATTTTCTTGTACTGATAATTTAGTATTTAAAAAACCATCATTTTACTACTTAAAATTGACTAATCCAATTAATCCTCATAACAACTATATAAAATAGACTTTAATATTCTATCTTCTTATTATTAATTTTGAGTTGATGTTCTAATAAGATGAAACTTGGATGAGTAGAATAGATTTTGTGTTTGGGAGAGATGTGGATCTTTGGGGATGAAAAAGATTATCATAGGCAGAATGCACCCCCCAGAGATTCCTGTATCCCAATCCTTGGAACCTGTGAATAACTTGCACTGCATGGAAAAAGAGATTTTGCAGATATAATGAAGGTTATAAACCTTAAAATAGGAAGATTTTTCAGGAATATTTAGGTGGAGCAAATCTAATCACATGAGCCCAAGAAAGCAGAGACTTTCTCTGGTTGCAGTCAGAAATATGTGGCAGAAGGAGAAGTCAGAGATTCCAAATGCTGAGAGGAACTTGATCCACCATTATTGGCAGAGCATCATAAAAAGCAAGTGAAATCCAGACAGCCTCTAGTCCTTCTGCTGATAATCAGTGCTGATGACCAAGATCAACAGTAATTGATATAAATGTGAGGAGTCTGGCAGAAGGCTGACCAGGACTCCTTTTGATATTCACAGGATGAATATCTACGTTTTATTACCTGCTGCTGACTCAATGGCCTAAAGCAAACTCCCCCAAGACCTGGCAATCTTACTGTTTGCTAAACATTACCATTGATATGTCTGTTTGCATTCCTAAAGGCAATTGTGTATTCTAGCTAATAAAAGCAGCTGGGAAAGGAGCAACAGGGAGAACTCGACTTCTTTAGTTGAGTTATTCTCTGGTTCCCCCGGTAATTATAAAAATTAATATTCCGTCTTGTGTGTATCATTTACGCATCAGCCCTCCCTCCAAGTCTTTGAACCCGTGAAAGCCACGCTGGCCGTGGACTCTCGCAAATCAGCATGGAAATGGAACCTAAGTGCTACAACTACAAAGAACTGAAATTGCCCAACAAACTAAATAACTTTGGAGGTAGATAAGTGAGGCTCTGAGTATAATCTACCTTGGGGTAAAATTCCTTTTCATCATGAATTGTGAAATTAGAATAAATGATTTGTTCTAAAGTATAATGGTGCAATAGGCATAGGAAAACCATTCCATTGAAATTAAGATAAAATGAGAAGAAAAAATGTAGTTACTACGACCAAACAATTTCAAATTTCTATGGGGCAAACTCCATTAGGTTTCAAGTCCTGGGGATAATTCTCTAGGCCACATGGCTCTGGCCTCTGGGCCTGGAGTCCTTATTCCAATTTCATAATGGTTAGTATATGGCAGTAGGTTGAATAATGGACTCCAAAGATATTAAATATCTAATCCATGGTACCTTATGTGGTAAAAGAGTATTTGCAGATGTGATTAACTTAAGGATCTTAAAGTGGGAACATTATTCTAAATTATCTGGGTGGGCCCAGTGCAATCACTAGTACCCTTATAAGAGAGAGGCAGTTTATTTTGCACACAGAGAAGAGGATGTGAAGATAGAGCAGAGAGAGATTTAAAGATGCTATGCTGCTGGCTTTGAAGATGGAGGAATGGGCCATGAACCAAGGAATGCAAGGATGAAGCTCTAGAAGCTGTAAAAGACAAGGGAATGGAATTTTCCTAGACCCTCTGAAGGATGCACAGCCTTTGTGACACCTTGGATTCAGCTGAGTGATACCTGTGTTGCTCTAAGACACTAAGTTTGTGGTAAATTGGTACAGTGGCCATAGGACAGTAATATCTGTTTTCAGCTTAGAGTTTTATTATCTTGTTTTCTGTCAGTAAATTTTGGAAATTCAAGTCTTCTTTCATTTTATCTTTTTGACCCGGTTAGTACAAGTTGGCAGTTTTTCTGCTGGTATAACATTCTCAAGTGCCTTGAGGTTTTTCTGTTTATGTCACAGGGACAAACTCTATTATATAAGAGATCCCTCAACAGATGTTTCCAGGATAATATAATATTTATTGCTAGTTCTGCTGATATTGCTGAAGATATCCATGAATCACACATCTAATATAATCTAAGTGTGCAATCCTCTGCATGATTGAATACTCTGATTTTTTTTTTATTCTTCCATTTTTTTTTTATGTCTCCAAGACTTCAGCAAAAGATTTTCCAAACACACCCTAGGCTTTCTATCTAGAGCACACTTTACTAATAGTGACTGTCCTAATTTTAGCATTTTATTTTTTTATCATTTGAATTGCTGAGAACTTGCCACATCATCAAGTTCTGGTTCCTTTTTGTTTAACAGTTATTACATCAATCATTTTCCCCCTCTCACATCTATACTAATAAAAGGGTAATATGCTAATTAGACCAGGAGACCTTCCGGACATCCTTCCGGACAAATCCATGGTGGCAGGGCCGAGGAAGAGGCAGTTAGGGGCAATCAGGCCAGGAGGGGAGGGCAGTTGGGGGTGATCAGGCTGATGGGGGGGCAGTTAGGGGTGAGCAGGAGGGGCCAGTTGGGGGCAAGCAGGTCAGCATGGGTAGGAAATTGGGGCGAGCAGGCCAGCAGGAGGGGCAGTTGGGGGTAAGCAGGCTGGCAGAGGGGTAGTTGGGGGCAATCAGGCCAGAAAGGGTCAGTTGGGGGTAAGCAGGCCAGCAGGCAGAGTGGTTAGGGGCAATCAGACAAGCAGGCAGGTGAGTAGTTAGGAGCCAGCAGTCCCAGATTGTGAGAGGGATGTCCGACTGCTGGTTTAGGCCCACAGGGGATCGGCAGTAGGATATCCCCCAAGGGGTCCCAGATTGGAGAGAGTGCAGGCAGGGCTGAGGGACACCCCCGCCCCCCATACATGAATTTCATGCACTGGGCCATGAGTTTTACTATAAGCAGCAAAAAGAAACCTGACATCTTCACATAAGATATTACAAATACTTTCAGAAGAATAAAAATAAAAATAGAACATAACAAAATGTATGGGAAGCATATAAAGCAGCTCTTAGAGAAAAAATTATAATTATAAATGCTTATATTAAAGAGAAAGAAAAATCCCAAATCTATAACCTAACTTTATACCATAAGACACTGAAGCAAGACAAGCACACTATAATCAAAGCAGACAGAAGGAAGGAAATGATAAAAATTAAAGCAGAAATAAATAAAATGGATAATAGAAAAATAATGGAGAAAATCAGTAAAACCAAGAATGGATTACTTAAGAAGATTAACAAACTTTATTAAGATAAGAAAGAAAAGAAAAAAATATTTTAATTGCTAAAATCAGGAGTTAAACTGGGAGACATCATTTCCAAGATCACAGGAATAAAAGGATTGTAAGGAAATATTATGAAGAAATGAATACCAAAAATTTAGATAACATAAATTAGACAAATTTCTAGAAAGATACAAACAGTGAAATTGACTCAGGAAGAAAAAGAAAACATGTATAGGCCTATAACATGTAAAAAACTGAATTCATATGTTAAAAAATTCTCCACAAAGGAAAGCTCAGGCTCCAATGGCTTCACATGTAAATTCTACCAAACATTCATAGAATTTATACTATTCCTTCACAAACTCTCCCAAAACAGAAAAGACAGAACCACTTCCCACATGATTAGATCAAACCAGTATCTACACTAATAAAAGAGAAACATGGTAATTGGCGTACGACCGCTACCCTTCCCATTGGCTAATCAGCATATCCTTATGCAAATTAACTGTCAGCCAAGATGGCTGCCGGCAGCCAGGCAGCTGGAAGCAAGCAGGGAGGCTCACTTGCTCCAGTGACTGCAGACGCCAACGTTCCCCGCCTAACTTGCCGGCCTCTGAGTTGCAACTCTAAGCAACTATGTACTATGTTGCAAATAAGAAGCTAAACAAACCTCCAGAAACCAGCTTTCAGCCTGCCGGGATCTCAGAGCTGAAGTTATACATTGTTTCGATTATAGAACGGCAAACAAACCAGATACGAAGCCTCAGAGCTAGAGCCAGAGCTAAAGCTGGCCCAGAATAAAATAAAAAAAAGAGAAAAAAAAGGAGCGGTTGGAAGCTTCAGTCAACAACCGCCAGCCTGAAAGCAGCCCTCAGCCCCTCACCCAGACTGGCCAGGCACCCCAGTGGGAACCCCCACCCTGATCCAGGACACCCTTCAGGGCAAACCAGCCAGCCCCCACCCATGCACCAGGCCTCTATCCTATATAGTAAAAGGGTAATATGCCTCCCAGCACCGGGATCAGCAGAGCAGCGAGGCTCCCGGCACCGGGATCAGCGTGACAGGGGGCAGCGCCCAAACCCCCTGATCGCCCTGCAGCTCTGTGTGTGACAGGGGAAGGCGCCTCAACCCCCTGATCAGCCCTGCTCTGTGCCTGATAGGGGGGAGCTCCCCAATCCCCTGAT